CTTTTCTTCCCCTCTCCTTTTTTTCCTTCCTTCCTTCCTTCCTTCCTTCCTTCCTTCCTTCCTTCCTTCCTTCCTTCCTTCCACCTGGCAACCTGAGCTACAGGTTTCCTCAGGTTCAGGATGATGGCAGTTTTAACCCAATCATCTGTAAGATCCACTACTAATACAGGATTGTCCTATAAATCTTCACTTGTCATATATATTAATAACTTACTCCATAAAAGTCCATAAAATAAGTCCCAGAGCCAAAACAATCGTGTATAGTTTTCAATTTTGGGGGTTATCAATTTTTTTTAACATTTCAAATGTATTTTTACTTCTTTTTTTTTTTTAGAAGCAAGAATGTCAGAAGGTTTCAAGGTTTGAATTATCATCTTTGTTTTTTAATCTACAAACATTTCTCTTTTCTATCTCTGTTCCCCAAAAAGGATGCCCTGAAAACCTTATGTTTCAGAGGGTTACCTATTCTGGTTAACCGGCTTTCCTTCAAACTTTCTTTTATATTATGACCTAATTTCTTTAAAACAGTTTTCCTAACCTGTAGACTGATGGATTTAACTTCCATAGTTCATAGCCCAGAATTATAGAGTTTGGGGTTCAAATATTGAATTAGTACTCAATTATGCAGAGATGAACCTCCCTGAGGAAGGTGTTCTTAGAAGCTGGAGAATGAAAAATATGTTCTCCCATATTTAAACAGAAGAAAGAAAAGAGGAGAATTAAGGAAGTTTAATTTAGCCAGAATATAATTAATTTATTATAGGTTTGAGTACCCAATAGAGCAGGAATATAAACAGTCTTCTATTTAAAAAAAAAAAAACCCACAACTGTTCAATGTTACGGATTGTTTGAAGTTGTTTGAAGTTAGGGCCTGTTCACAAAATAGGAAAGTAGGGCAAAATCATCGAATTTGAAGAAGAGCAGAAAGGCTGTTATCAAATAATCAGACAATCCTGTATAAAATTTAAGACAATTATATTTAAAACGACCTACCTTTCTAAAAGGAACCTTTCTGGACAGTCGGAATTAATCCAATTCAAAATTCTAGAATGGGTGGGAAAGGGTTGAGGGTGCAGCGGTGGTCGGATTGAAAGACATTTTTTTNTGCAGAACTGCAGTCAGCTGAAGTAGCCTGCAGTGCTGCATTTAACCACCTCGGCTCTGTTAATTGACCATGTTGTCATTGTGCGTGGAGATCAGCATTCACCTGGTGCCTTCCTTTATCCTGCTTTTAACTTGAGGCGGATTGAGACGTTTAAGAAGCAAAAGCTGATAAACCAGCAGTTATAGGAGAAAGTCAAACACGATGAGTTGGCACCACCTAGTCAGGTGAATTGTTTGCTCTGGAAAGGAAGGGAGCCAGTCTCTGGACAAGATAGGACCTAAACAGCAAAGATAAGAGGCTTCCTTTTTTTTTTTTCGACAGAGGCCCCTGAGCTGGAGTTAAAATGATCTTAACAGATAAACTGGCATCCTCCTTACTCTATAAATATGTGAAAAGGACTGTCTGGAAAGACTGGCCATTGATTTGTGAAAAACAAACAGACTACCCTTTCACCCTCCTCTTTTTGAAAGTTTAGAGCAACTTGGGAACTTTAAGATGTGAGGACTTTAACTCCCCAGAATCCCCCAGCCAGCATGAACCTTTAGTACCTAAGTTTGTGTGATCTAAATTCACAGATTCTATACTTGTAATGGTAGGTTATAATTGTGTTTACACTTATATTTTGTGCTTGCTCAAATCTTCTAGTTTCTTTCTGCGTAAAGTAATACAGGTAAGTTCTCGACTTAGAGCAGTTGATTTAGTGACTGTTTGAAGTTACGGCAGCACTGAAAAAGTGATTCATGACTGTTTTTTTTCACACTTACGATGTTTGCAGCATCCCCATGGTCACGCGATAAAAATTCAGATGCTCGGCAGTGATTCGTATTTATGACGTTTGCAATGTCCTGGGGGGGGGGGGTCACCTTTTGCGATCTTCTGGCAAGCAAAGGCAGCGGGGAAGCCAGATTTACTTAACAATTGTGTTACTAGCTTAACAACCGCAGGGATTCACTTAACTATGGAGGGGAAGGTTATAAAATGGGGCAAAATTCATTTAACAACTGTCTCAAGTCACAGAAATTTGGGGCTCAATTGTGGCACGTCAAGTGTTAGAAGAGGTTCCACCAGTGGACCCGGAAAGCAGGCCACACCTACAGAAGAGGTTCCAACATTTTTTGAAACCCACCCCTGGTCCTTGGATATG